TAAATTCCCGTTCTGATCAGTGATTGTTTCTCTCTCAGCTCCAGGCCCAGATGGGTGCTCTCTGCTCGCGCTCAGACTTCCTGGGTCGACTCGCCCGGCGATACCTGACCGACTCGGACTCCTGCGTGCAGCTGCGGCGCAGCCCGATGTCCCGACGGGCGCTGGAGCGCCGCCAGCAGCCACGGCTCAGCCTGCGGCCGCTGGCCAGCTACCAGACGCTGTTGCTGCTGCTACTCTTTTACTCTCTAGGGCGCTGCTGTCATTAGGGCCGCTCTGCAGTACAGCCCTGCTCCTGACGGGGGCGCTGCTGTATGGTGTCCTGATGACGCTCTGTGCTGAAAAACTGAAAACGCAATAAAACGCCAAATAGCTGAGCTTCTGACTTGGTTTAAGCTCTACTGCGTTAGTGTTAGCATGAACCACAGCTCACTCCGGCATTTTTCTGATGTAAATACTTCTTTATTTTGTCCGTTGAGCATCTGGAAACGGATGCAGGCCAAAAGTTTTTAAGTGAATAAAGTATTTTTCTCAGTGAAAACAAGAGTTTGTGTGAGAAGAGATTTATTTAAAGGGGATCTGTTCTGCGGTAAGAAGGCTACTTCAATTAGCCTTGATAGTTAGTCACTGAAGTAACTTACCTGCAATCTACTAATACCACAAATGCATAAGGGATGATGGGCCTGATCAGAATCTGAATTTGTGGGAGCAACAACAGAGGAAAGGGTAGAATTTAATATAGAGAACTTTATAGAACCATGTTTAAAAGTGAGTATGTCCACTTATGAACATACTCATGAACTTTTTAACTTTTTTTTTTTTAAATCTTATTGAAGAATAAATAAGATGAAGTTTATTTATACCTTTTAATCGCTGTAGAATAACATGAAATAAATATTAATTTTTGCTTGAGATTGTAACTGGGTTACACAAAATTTACATTTTGCACAGTTTTTGTGTTTCTATTTGGGTGTCTAAGTAAGGTAAAGTAATTTTATAGCACATTTTCAGCAACAAAGCAATTCAAAGTGCTTTACATGTGTCAAAGGAAATGCAAACAAAAGTAAAGTAAGAGAAAAATAAAAGTATATGACTACATATTGGTTCCCAATATTTAGAATGTATGAGACTTTATAAACTAGTTGGGGTTATGAATTTACTTTATAACTAGTGATAACTTCATTGATCTGATAAAACTAGAAGTTGGTTCTCCCTGTTTGGTTCTATATAGTAGATGGTCCTAAATGATGTCCTAAGGTAAAGAGTCGTTTCTTTGGATGAGTTTTTCTGCATTATAAGTTTTTTTCTAATTCCTTCTCTGAAATTAGGAAGTACTCCATAATTTATAAGCGAGAAGGAATTTCTCTGAAAAAACGAATTGGAGTTTCTCGGCATAGAAAGTATAATATTGGTTTAAATAGTGAGTACTCCACAATTTATAAAAGTAATCAAATAAACCAGACAGGCAGGGCAAGGACAAGACACATCAGGGGAAGTATGCACATCTAGCAACATTCAGATACATGAGTGAAAGGTGGTGACATTAAGTAGTACATCTGTTTTGTGTGTGTGTGTGGTGCATTTGTATGACTGAAACCATGCAGTCCTTGGGACCACTCTGCTCAGGAGAGTCATGTTCACCTGTCTTCCAGGAGATTTGAGATATCCAGCCAGCCGAGGCTAACACAAGGGAGCCAGTTCACATACAGAAAGCTTTAGGTCAGGTAGATTTTACATTTTAATCTGCCTTAAAGTCTCACAGATCCATCTTTGTTCATCCCAATTAGTGTGGCCACCCCAGCGGACCGAAATCAGCAACTTCTCCGAGATCCATTCCTTCCTGCTAGAGAGTTTTAGAGTCTGCAGCTGAACTCCGAATCTCAGCAAGAATCACATCCAACTTGTGTCTCCGTCCCACAGCCTGTTAGTCTGAGTGTTCCCTCGTCGGCTCAATCCATCACAAATTTGTTGATATGCCAAGTATCTGCCAACTCCAAACAGCAGAAATTCTGTTATCATGAATCCAAATAAATTCAGGACGTATCCCGTCAGGTATGTCCCTAAAGGACAGCCTCTCCTCTGCCCAGTCTTCTCATTGAGAAAATGTTATCAATTGCATAGAGACCGGTTGGCCAGATCCATAATTTGTAGATTTAAATGATGTGCAAAGAAAGGCTCCACAAAGCAGCGCAAAACAGAGCAAGCAGGGCAGGAAGGGAACAGAAGAGAAAATGTCTGTCTTCACTGAGAGCTAGAGAGAAAGTCTCTAAAGACGATTACAAAGTCGGCCTTCGATCAGCTGAAGAACATCTCCAGGATTAGAGGACTAATGTCTCAGCCAGATCTAGAGAAACTCATCCATGCGTTTATCTTTAGTCGCATTGATTATTGTAACAGCGTCTTCACAGGCCTGTCCAACTAATCAATCCTCCAGCTGCAGCTGATCCAGAAGCTGCTGCTCCTGTTCTCACTAGAACCAGGAAGATAGAGACATAACAGCAGTTTTAAAGTCCCTCCACTGGCTCCCTGTAGCTCAAAGAATAGATTTTAAAATACTGTTGTTAGTTTACAAATCACTGAACGGTTTAGCACCACAATACATCAAAGATCTGCTGTTGTTGTATCAACCTTCCAGACTCTCAGGTTCTGGTTCTGGTTCTGCTTTGCATCCCCAGAACCAGAACCAAGAGAGGAGAAGCAGCTTTCAGCATCTATGCACCAAAACTTTGGAACAAACTTCCAGAAAACTGTAAAACAGCAGAAACCCTGACTTCCTTCAAATCTCAAGTAAAAACCAGCTGATTAGAGTTTGATTTGAAATGTAATATGTAACAATGTATTGTTGATTCCATGATGCATGACTTTGTGTTTATGATGTAAAACACTTTGAGATGCCTTGCTGCTGAAATGAGCTATACAAATAACATTTGATTTGATTTGATTTGATACTGCTTCTAGAAACAAATCGTAAAAAAAGAAAGAAAAAGAGACGTTTTCTGGCAATAGAAGTTGTTTTGATGTCTGGAAAATGAGCTGTTTCAAAAACCTCTGGCATGTAAAGTCACAAATCAGCAGACACTGGAATGCCTACCAACCCTTGTTACCTAGCAACAAAGCTTGGTAACAAGGCATTTGGCCAGCAGCCATTGTACAGCCACTGCTGTACAATGGCTGCTGGAAAAGACGAGTTTTGTTGTTTTCTTACCATCCAGAGACCATTTTCTGCATTCTGCTTGATGGTGCAGGAGGCTCCACTTCTGCTTTTCAAACATGTATGGTTGTGTAATGGCCCATCTGTTTGCAGCCATTTTGATGCATGAGTGTAAACGTTGAGTTTGGGGTTTGGCCAGCAGCAGCTCTTTTGGATATAAAGTGACAGAGACCCTAAAGCTCAACCTGGGCACCGACTCTGCTGGATCCCAGAGAACGTTCCACAGTTTCTCTGCATTTCTTGGTTCTACATCAGAAAACAGCAGGTTTGATGTCATCCTCTATGGCAAGCTGTTTGAACATAAAATCAGTAAGCCTGACTGATGATCTGTAGTTACATTGCAGATAACTAAAAATGCATATGAACTAGACACACTTTGACTATTCAAAATGGTAATTTAAAGATATCTGCATTTGCATTTTGACGAGTCAAAATTCCTTTCAAGATATTTCAAATTATGTCACCGGGTCTGTGTTGACGGGACACGTATCCATAGTTACAATTTAACTATGTATTAATGTAATCATAACTAGTCAAAATTACATTTTTAGATATCTGATTTAAGAATTGCATGCAAGGCCCCTTTGTGCTGTAAAATAGTTGAATGCAGAATTTTAGGTTTCCTGCACAAAACTGTCTGTAAATCCACAATGTAGAAAGAGCTCAGCAATGTGGACAAAGAAAAGGTTGCATCTTGAAAAATCTGACTGAACTTTCAAAATGCTGTCAAAAGTCTGACGTTTTGACAAAATACTAATTCAAGATATCAATAATGACATTTTGACGAGTCAGAATATTAATTTAAGATATCTCAAATCGAAAAGTTGTATAATTAAATGTATCTAATTCATTTTGAGATATATTAAAACTAATTTAAGATATTTTACCATTCAGAATATCTCTAGTTTAGTTTTGCTTCATTATTTGCTTTTAAGAAAATATCCTTTAATCTTCACTCGTCGATTCCACATGTCTGCTCTTTATAAATACATTCACGATATCTTTAATTAGAATTTTTACTAGTCAAAACAAAATTAGAGATATCTTGAATTTACTTTATAACTAGTGATAACTTCATTGTATGGACTTGAAATATGCTTAATAGTCAGTAATTCTTTATAGATATCTTGATGGTAAATCTGACATAATTTCTACTTGTCAGAATCTAATTAGAGACATCTTAATACGTCATGAACATATTTCAGGTATCTGGAATGTAAGGGAGATAAAAGCAAATTTATGTTCAAACAGCCTGCCGTAATCCCAAAGGTTTCCTGCTGAAGTGACCTCTTTCTATCTGAGTGACAAGCTGCTTCTCTCTCGTCTGTTTAGGTTGCTGAACATTTTCCAGCACTTTTCCTCTTCAGTGTAAAACTATGGCAGTGTCCAAACTTCCCCACGTTCAGCCAAAAGAACTCACTGGCCTAAACAATGAACAATTTGTAAATTAAAATCACAAACATTCTAAGGATTTTTTACTTTTAAAATAAGCTCAAATCGGTTTCATATTTGAATTAAAACCGATTTTAAAAATAGGAAATGGATGTGTATATTATTTCAGGTCCAAAACCTTAAATAAATAAAAGAAAAATTTATATTTTTGTTTTTACTCGTTCGTGTTTTTTTTTCTTTTGTTTATTTGTTTTGTTGTTGTTTTCATTTTATTGAATAATTTTCGTCATTTATACTGTCAAAGGTCCTGATGTTGAATAAAGTTTGGCTGAAAGAACAGAAGAAGAAGAAAAAATTGACGCGGCTGCCGCTGATTGGCCCAACGGTGTTTCACGTGGTGCGGAAGTGAAGGGTCCTGATGTGTTTCTGGAGTGCAGGAGGGTTCCGATAAGACTCTGCGGTGTTCGGCTGGATTTCCTGCTGGAGAAAATGGACCCATTAAACAAACTGAAGCAGTTTGACGCTTATCCTAAAACTTTGGAGGATTTCCGGGTGAAGACGTGGGGAGGAGCGACCGGTAGGAGGCTAACCGATGCGAACCGCGGGGCTAACGGCTGCCGCTGGTACCGACAGCAGGGAAACGGTTCTATGGCTCAGAGCATATTCTACTCGTTACAGTTTAATTAGCCTATTGCAGCGTCCTGCCTTTCACAAGGAAACCTAAACGCCTGTACTTTTCTGGGAGTTTATTAAACCCAGTAAAGCGGATGTTTAAATGACAAGAGGTTTAAATGTATTTATTTTCTTTTATTGATGGAGCCTGTAGTTGGTGGAGCTGTTTAATATTGTCAGGTAGAATAAACTAGACCCTCGGTATTCTTATTTTCCAGATCAAATAGATGTTTTTGTCTTTTAGTCAAACTGAGATAAACCCTGTCCGCTGAGACCTGGCCAAGATACCATGGCAACAGAAAAGCAAAAACATTTCAATAAATTGCAAGAAATGAACATGAAACATGTTCATGTTAGCGAATTGCCTTCAGTGACTCAGTTTTCATTCAAATGCGCTAAATGAAGTTCACTGTCAGTTTTTTTTACTAATTCTGCAGCTTCGAGCCAAGAGAGCATAAAACTTCAGTCAATGTTTGTTCTTCCTTTTTCAGATCAAAATGGAGATAAAAAGACATTCAGGGTTGAAAATATGCCTTGAATGCTGCTCATGCAATCACAAAACTGGGATTTCTCAGAATAAACAAACAAACTGCATTAATAAAACGTCCCGTTTTAAATATTGTATTCTAATAATCTCTAAGGATGATGAGAATTTTATTGAAACAAGTTATTCAACAATATTTAGAGAGGACTGTTTTTAAAAAATACAAGGGATAAAAACTGGTTATAATAAATAACCCAATAAGAACAAATGAACAGATATGAGATATAATTTAAAAAATGGAGAAATACAAATCTAAAGATTTTTTACTGATGAAAATGTATGTTATTAATGCATTAAATGATGTATAGAAATGTATTTATTCCAATTTTGTAAAAAAAAACAAAAACAAAAAATGTTTTGGAGAATATTTATTGGAAAATAAAAGGCAACTTTATTTATCACACCTTTCATAAACATGGACATTCAATGTTCTTCACAGGAAAATAAAGCAACAAAGAAAACTACATGAGAAACTAGAAATATCTCCATTCACCCGTCCGTGTTCCTCTGCCGGGGTCGGGTCGCGGGGTCAGCAGCCTCCTGGTCCGGCTCCTCCAGGGGGATCCCCAACATGTCCCTCCAGCGTGTCCTGGGTCTCCCTCTGGTCCTCATCTGGCTCCTCTCCTCTCGACGAGAGGAGCAGCGGCTCGACTCCGAGTCCCTCCGAGCTCCTCGCTCTCGGGGAGGGCCCAGACGGAGAAAACCCATTTCGGCCGCCTGTATCGGCGATCTCGTTCCTTCGGACTCGACCCAAAGCTAATGACTGTAGATGAGGGTGGGAACGTAAATCGGCCGGTAAATCGAGAGCAGTACGGCGCCGCTTCACGGCAGACGCTGCTCCAATCCGCCTGTCGATGTCCCGCTCCCTTCTTCCCTCATTCGTGAACAAGATCCTGAGATACTTGAACTGCTCCACTTGAGGCAGGACATCCTCACCGACCCGGAGAAGCTCTCTACCCTTTTCCGGTTCAGTTCCACGGCCTCGGACTTGGAGGCACCGATCCTCACCCCGGCCGCTTCACACTCGGCTGCGAACCGCTCCAGCGAGAGCTGCGGGTCACGACCTGATGGAGCCAATGGGACCACATCATCCGCAAAACGCAGAGATGGATCCTGAGGCCACCGAGTCGGATCCCCACAACACCTGGGCTGGCCTATAAACTCTGGTTTAGAAATATCTTAAGTAATTTTAAACATCAAATGAAATAAATATTGAAATGGAAGTTTAAAATCCAGAATGATTAACGTGACCTTTGACCTTTCAGGGAAAGCTACAGTAATGTTTCTGGAACTTCTCAGGTTTTCAGACAGATGAAACTTGGTTATCAAATGCAACAGGGTTCAGTGGTTTTGACCAAATTTAAATTTACTACCACAATATGAATGTTTCAAATCTGTAAAATAAAGATGCATTGATTCACATAATGGTTGCTGCCAACACTGTGAAATGTTTCCACCTTGTGTCTCTGCAGTGACCATCATCAGCGGCGTCATCATGTTCGTTCTGTTCGTCTCTGAGCTGCAGTACTACCTGACCAAAGAGGTGAGCTCCTCAATCCGTCCTCTGTCCAGTCCGGTCCGGTCCGGTTCGCTCACTGACCGGACCGATGCTGTCCGTTTTATTGGACGGGAAACTGCAGCATTTCATCAGGAAGTCTGTGAATGGATCAGGATTTGTTTCTGCAGAGATTTGCTGCTTTCATCTGTCATCAGACGATTTACAGATTTTTATCTCATGTTCAATAGAAAACTAAAACAACTAAACTTTTCACCAGAACTTTATAAAAATGAAACATTGGGTCGTTTTCACCAGGGAAGCTGAGTTGAAACCAACTGAAACTGAGTTTCGGGAGCAGCAGCAGTGAACTTTAGCCTCCAGGTGTGTTTCCTGTCGGGCCGGTTGGGTCGGATGAACTCGGGTTTCTTGGAAGGAAATGACTCAGGGTTTAGTTTAGTTGCAGTTCTGGGCTGAAAACATCTGGGAACATAAAGTACCCTGAAAAGTATTTTCCTTCTTAATGGATTTCTGAAGTTGTTGCTGCTTTTGTCCAATTTGAAAATGTCAGATGGTCAAAATAGTTTTGATATGTGTTGATCCACTGATCTGCTTTAGGATTAAATGTGAGCTTGATTTAAGACTTGAACAGCTGGAGCTTTTCCTCCAGGGTTTCCATCAGATCCAGTCGACTCTTTCTGGTTTGGACCTTTTTGTTGGTCGCATGAAGTAAACGAAGCAACACATCTTGTGAAATGTTTAGTTTTTCTCTCTTTTTGTAAGTTTAGGGTCAGACGTCAAGGCTATTGATTTATTTTTATCCATCTTTCATTCCTCTCATCTCTTTATTTCCATCTTTCTTTTTTCTAGGGCTGCAGCTAATAACTATTTTTAGTCATCAGTCTAGTGATTATTTTCACAAGTAATCAGATAAAAAAAATGGAAATACATTAGAATGCACCAAAATATGTAAATAAACAAATTAAAATCTTTTTCAAATATTGTCTAAAAGTTGATATCAGTATTTCTTTTTATCATTTGCAGCAAATTATGCAGATAAAAATTGTTCGACATGAGAAAAGCTCAGGCTGAATGTCAGAGTAGAGCTGATCAGGAGATTATTATTGATTAACTGATTAATAACTGGATGCAAAATGTTCTTCATAGATTTATTTTTTTAAAGCAGGTGAAAAAAAGATTTGTGATTAAAGAAGGTTGTTTTTATCTTGAATGTTTGTTTTTGTTCAACTAGCATTTAATAAATTAGTGACAATCATTTCAGCTCTGCTTTGTCTTCATATTGAAAATAAACTCAAAGCATTTCTATTAAATCCAGCAGAGCGTCGCAGTGAAACCGCTGACCGGACAACAAAGTGAAAGCCATTTTTTCTGCTTCGTTTCTTTTTCTCAGTGTTTGTTGTGTTGCTGTGGACAGTTTGGTGTTGACGCTTCGTGTCGTCCTTCAGGTCCACCCGGAGCTCTACGTCGACACGTCGCGAGGAGACAAACTCAAGATCAACATTGACGTCATTTTCCCTCACATGCCCTGCGCCTGTAAGTGCTGCCGTTCCTCTGCTGTCTGCGGCTGATGGCGGCCGCCGCTCACCACCGTGTTTGTCAGATCTCAGTATCGACGCCATGGACGTGGCCGGAGAGCAGCAGCTGGACGTCGAACACAACCTGTTCAAGCAGCGGCTGGATAAAGAGCTGAAACCCGTCAACACCGAGGCAGAAAACACGGTACTTCATTCCAAACACAAACCAGTTTGGGTCATTTGCTGGACAAACTGGAGAATCTGGAAACAACGTCTCGAGTCGGCAACCTCAAGTGATGGCGCCTAAATGGTTGGCAATCAGAATTGTAATAATTAATCATTGTAATCAATCATTTTCTGTTAATAAAATTGAAATTCTTTATTTTAATCGGGCACCAACTCTGTCTTTGTGAAGGAATGAATTTGGCAAAAGAAACATTTCACACAACAAGAAATGATAACTTCTGTCTTTTAACCATTTTCAAGTAATATATTGATGATTTCATAATGATGCAAGTTCATCGTTTCAAAGATCAGTAAACTTTACTTTTGTAAAGAACACTTAACATGTAACTGGAAGAATTTTTAAAAAGTCCAAAATGACCAAAAACAATAAATAAAATAAAAACTACACACAATCAAAACTTTGAAAGAAATCAAGTCAATTATCAGTTAATCATCCGAATGGAAATGATGAAGTTAGCTGTGCAAAGCTAACGTTTTAGCTAACGGGTTTAAAGTCAGGTGATCGCACAGCAAAAACAAAATCCTGTCAAGTATTTTTGGTTTAGTTTCCACTCTAAATATCTCATTACACTTGAAATAAAACCAAACTAACTCACAAGTAACTTCAGGAAGATAAAGGAGCTCAGTGGAAGAAAATAATTCCTTCAAAAACTTGTTCCACCGCTGGAGTATTTTATTCATAACATGACATTTTCCCAGGCAAAACTGAAACAAATCTACGAGTGGCACGGGAACTTTTCAACAATATAACAAAATTATTACTGAAAATAAGCTGCTAGGTCTGCTGAAACATCACTTGTGAGTTATTTGTCTTATTTCAGTCGGCATGAAAGCTAACATTGTTTTATAGTCACAGATGGTTCTGTGTTGTGCAGAACTGGGCCAGGCTGAAGACGGGGAAGCGTTCGACCCGAGCACTCTGGACCCGAATCGATGCGAGAGCTGTTACGGTGCCGAGACCGAAGACCTGAAGTAAGAAACGCCGCTCGCTCGGCCGCTGGCCGGCCGCTCGGGATTACTGCTGCTAATTGTGTTTGTGCAGGTGCTGCAACACCTGTGACGACGTGCGAGAGGCGTACCGGCGACGCGGCTGGGCCTTTAAGAGCGCCGACACCATCGAGCAGTGCAAACGCGAAGGCTTCACGCAGAAGATGATGGAGCAGAAGAACGAGGGCTGCCAGGTTTACGGCTTCCTTGAGGTCAATAAGGTCAGACCTTCACGCCTTTCCAGTGGCGGGCAGTTACTGTAATCTGATTACTTGATCTTCAAGTAAGAAATTACAATTGCAAAAAAGTAATGAGATTACCTTTACTTCCACCCAAGCAAACGTTACAAAACCCAGATTTTATTAGCCTCTCATCACATATTATGTGTGTAGAACAGCGACAGGTAAACTGGAGCGCAGTAATAAACATCCTCGTCGCCACAGTGTCCATGTCACAAGAAAGGGTTTAAATTGATGAAACTATCCGATGGGATATGCGTACAGGAAGTGATGTCGATCTGTTCTGGCAGAGGCAGACGGCGATTTCATTCAGCGTTTCTGCTGCCGACTGGCATGACAGCTGCAAAATTGAGAAGTAGGATTGTTTTCATTTCCTGGTTTACAGCAAATCAACGCAAATGTCATTTGCCAAATGTTGCAAGCTAGCATGGCTGCAACAAACAGGAAGTAACGGTTGCTTGCTAGCATGGCGGAGGGACGGCTCTCCCCTCTGAGCCGAAGGTTTGGAGTTTGGAATGTTTCAGTTTGGTCACTCTGGGAAGGATGGGAAAGTTTTGCTACATCTGAATTTTTCTTTCTTTTCTACATCGAGTCTTTTCAGAAAATGCCAAAAACCGCCTCAAACTTTTTAACAGAATTGAGACTTTGTATCAGATTTTGTGGTTTCCATCAATCGTCTCTGAAGCAATGCTACAAAATGTGCGTAAAAAATGTTGATGGAAACAAATTCCAGCTGTGTGTCTACCAGCTGTGGTTTCTCATCATGCTCGTCGGCACGCTGAGCTCTGCCCACCTACAGATGGCGCTGCCGCTGCTATCTTTGCTTCATAACAGAAAGTCTTGGATTTCAAACTAAAAGCTTCTAGAAACGCTGATCAGCTTTAAAAAGTAGTAAAATAAAAACTTTATTTTGATTGTTGAAAGTGCCAGTAATTGTTCCACTGATGATTTAAGGCTTTTAAGCATAATCAGCATCAACATGTCTTGAGTCTACATATATTTTCTATTCATGGTTGTTGTTATTTTTCTCATTTAGAGCAGTAAATTTGATCCTGAGTCGTTTCACATTTTGTTTCAGGTGGCAGGAAATTTCCACTTTGCTCCAGGAAAGAGTTTCCAGCAGTCACATGTTCACGGTGAGAACGTTTCCTCTGAGCAAAGCCTTTAAACGCCCTTTGTTTTGTTTTACTCCCAGTTATAGATGCATATAAAAGTCATTGAGTTCAACAGTTTAATTCAGCTGGAATCTAATTTCTGTTCCTCAAAGCAAAATGAAGAAAATATAAACCATATAAGAAGTTTATTTATTCCCTCCATCAGAATAAAGGGCGTTTGATTTCAAAGCTCCGACTGCTTCTCATGTTCATCCATCTGTCGTCTTCATTCCACCCTAACAACCACGCACCCCCTGCTGGTGGTGGCGAGTCTACATGTCACATGAACGTCTCCTTCTCCACTCAGCTCCTGCAGACTAGCGGCAGCAGCAATACCAAACGTCTGCTGAGCTCATCATACGAACTAGTGCCAGTCATTTCAAAGTCCTGCTGATCATTTGATTCTAATGTTTAAATATTAATCTGTAAATTTTACATCATAGCATAACTTTAGATGAAGCTCTGCTGCTTCATTCTCCTAATATTACGATTTTATTCTCATTATTTTGACTTTATTGCCGTACGATTGTATTCTTGTAATGGTATGAATTTATTTTCACAATTAAAAATAAAAATTGTACCCTGGCTCTAATATTCATAGAGCTAACCTGAATTTAAATCAAGATGGCTGCCCTGGGCGATAACATCACGCTGATCTATGGAAACCCAGAGAGAAAAAAAGTCCAAAACAAAAATGTAATATTTAAAACTGATTTATTAAGCTATGAAATATTTTAAACTGTTTGGCTGAAAGATGCATAAAACCTTCTAATCATTGCGAAAACACAAAATGTTGTATTTTTGGACTGGTATCTACAGCAAATATCTTATTTCAATGTCAAATTTATTTATATAGAACTTTTAAAAACAAGTTGAAAACTGCACAAAAATGCTGTACAAAATGATTTCAGGTATAATTAAATATTTTCACCATACTGTGGTGTTGTTCCCTTGTAATACATGTTTGAATGATTTTGACCAGCTGTGAATTTTTGACTAAACTTTTAGTTTAAACTGATCCAGAATCACCTGAGTGTTTAACTCACTGACTGACCCATCCAGGCCACCGTAGTTCTGTCCATCCAGTTAAACTCAGCAGCTCTGCTACTTCGTCCCTCTGGGATTAATGAAGTATATCCATTCATCATCCATTCACTCACTCACTCATTCATTCACCGTTTTCTTCTCAACAGAAAGCAGTGGAAGAATCTGTTTTAGTCGATTCTTCCTCTGGCATCACATCAGGACAGGAAATTAAAACGAACCCAAATGTTCAATCATCCACAATGGATGATTTAACTGGGATTGAATGGTTGGGCTGTAAAGGTTTTAGTTTCCTGTGCTGAAAGCAAAGATTCATTTCTCTCATCTCATCGATATTTAAAGTGTCGGCAGCAGAAACGAGAGATGAGAATCAACCAGAACCTCGTTAAGACCCAAACACATCCTGTCCTGCAAAGATGTCTGCTGTGGGTCGGGCTGCACACTAGTTCTAGTTTAGCCCAAAACTAACATTTATTTAACCTTCTATTCTTCAGAATTCACAGCTTATCGGTCGCTTTTGCTCAGTTTGGTTTTGGTTTCAACCTGATTTGAGGTAAATTGTCTGAAAACTCTTATTTTGGAAAGTGTTGTGCAGCCCCACCTTCAGTTGTCAGGTTTCATGTCTGTTGCACTGTCCCAGTGACTCTTCTCTCTTCTTTCTGCAGTGCACGCTGTGGAAAGTAAGTCCATCTTCCTTTATGCATGCAGCGTGTTCAGGAAAACCTTTCCCTGTTTCTGCTTTAAACACACTCAATCAATTCAATGTAAAAATAATCTCAGTTTTAATTAGAAAGTGTGTGATTATCAGACCCATTTAGACTTGCAACCATTTTCTGAATGTGATGCGATTAAATTTTGACTTGATAATTAATAAACGCTGCAGCTCTTAACCACGAGTCTGACGTTTCCTCACTGAGAAGTAACTGAATTGTCAGATATAAATTCATATCAAACATTAGAAACCTGAATGGTTTTGAGAAACTCCGATTCAGACCACAAAGTGAATGAATTCATGTTCATAATTCACTAAATCATTCTGAACTAGATTCAGTCCCAAAATGAACAAGTTCTTCTATTCACTGTGTTTTCAGTTTTTCTTGTTCCCTTCCTTAACTTTCAGAATGAGGGCAAAGCTACGATGTGAACCTGATGGAGGAAGATTTTAAACATGTCAGCAGCAGAACTGCAAAGCTGGCGTTGTTTAATAAAACCCTGACGGTTCAAATCCCGCTGGCATCAGTTACGAGCGTCCGGACGCCTCGCGCCCTCTGCCTTGTTTTTCAAAACTTTTTAATCGATTGGTTTTGGATCCCGGAAGGAAAATAGAAAAAGCTGCAACGAAATAAAAAACGAAGGGATCAAAGTTGCTCAGTTCTGCTTTTCGGCTGATCTGAAAGCCAAGAAGATTCTTTCGGACCCGATGCGTTTACAGACCAGAGAAAGTTGGAGATTTCAGGTTGAATGCAACAATTCAGAAGTAAAATATTTACATAAAAAACTGGTGAACTGGTGGCATTCTGGTGGTTTCAGTGTCATTTCAAACGGGTTGGTGTGTCAGTCTGTACTTTTACTTTGTGAAGGCCATGATGCTTACTTATTTCAGGTATAATTAAATATTTTCACCATATTCACCACATTCGACAGTGTGGTAACCACATTGTCGAAAGGCGACTGGTGTTTTTTCTCCCTCACTTCAGCTGCTTCTTATCCTGAATGTTTCTGATTTGGTCATTTAGTCTTTTATTAATATGCAACTGAATGGTTTTGGATTATTTTCAATAACAAGTTTGTTTTTGTTTGCAGTTCATGACCTGCAGAGTTTTGGTTTAGACAACGTAAGTTTTCACATTTCTGTGGATATTTCAATTCAAAATGTTTCATTTACTCATAACAGAGGCCTAAAGATGTCAGTTGAATTATGACGCCTCTTCTTCTTCTGTGGTTCTGCAGATCAACATGACCCACCTGATAAAGCACCTGTCGTTTGGTAAAGATTACCCCGGCATCGTGAATCCGTTGGATGGAACCGACGTCTCGGCGCCGCAAGGTATCGTCCCGCTTCCTCTGCTGCCAAATTGCTGCTTTTAAAAGCTTCTGATCCTTTCGAAACTTTAATCCATTTATTGAACCAAATTAAAGCGTTAAATTTCACATTAATGGCGCGAAACATGGAGGACAAAAACGGGACTGTCATGTGACGAACCAGAACCTTTATTGATAACAAGACTGCGGGTTTGGAGCAAGTGGTTATCTGAGTCCCAAGGCTGTACAGTCTGAGGAAGGAAGAGGAGGCAGCGGTCTTCCTCAACAACGGATTCCCATCCCGATGGCCATGAAGGTGCCAAACGTTCCGCCGCTTTGCATCATGGTCTTCCCAACGCCGCCCATCAGTTCCCGGCCCCGCATCCCGATCCTGCAAACAGAAACTGTTTTGAGCTCCGATTTCACCAACAGCTAAAATGTTAGCGCAGCCACCCTGCAAGGCAAAACCTCAGGATTATTCCCAGACAAAGGTTCAGTTAGTCAGAACGTTATAGGATGAAGCTTTAAAAACTTTCTAGTGTTTAAACAGTTTAATTTGGCAAAGTTTCACCCTTATAAAATATCTAAATAATAATAAACCATGTTGGGTTTTTCCCCCTCCCAGGGTGCAGTAATCATAAAAAGCAAAAATATGTTGCGTTTAAAGCTGAACCTGCACCAGCTGAGAGAGAAGTGAAGTTTAACTGGAACATTTCCTTTTTCCAGCTGAATTGAATCATTTTCAGTTTGGGTTTATTGGTCCAAACTGACCTGAGACAGGAGAAAGTCCCAAACATGGCGCCTGCAGCCATTCCCACGGCGAAGCCCATCATGAAGCCCATCTTGACCCGGTCGAAGCAGCTGGGCTGGGTCTGGCCATACGGACCGACAGCGACTGGCATCTACAACGCAAACTACAGCTGTCATTTTAATCTGAGGTTGACTGAGATTAAAATCTGCTGCATAGAAAGAAGGAAACCTAACAGATGAGCACACTGACTGAAAATTAGGCTCTTTCTAAATGTTGGTTTATTTTGTCTTCATGTTTAATCTTCAAAGCCAAAACCTTTGACCAGTTAGGGTAACGGATACACTGGCACTTTTTACAGCACCAATAACAAAAAGGTTTGAATTATAGATGCACCAAGTGTTTCTTTTTAGTTCTCACTGAGGAGGATGAAAAGGTCAAGATGCTTTGACCAAGTTTAAAGTCCAATATTTATCCAGTGAGGCTCATTTTCTGATCCATGGAGGTCCTTGAACTTTCCTTCAGGTTGAACTGAATCGGTTGTTTCTCAGCCAGTGACGTGCGCTCATATATGATGAAATCATTTAGATTGCCACCCTGTGGTTTGTACTGTTAACTATTTATTTTTTATTTAGCTTAACCAACTTTGATTACCATATTTTCCAGACTATAAGTCACACCAGCCATAAAATGCATAATAAAGAAGAAAAATACATATATAAGGAAATATGAGGGTAATTTATTTTATAAAATCCAACACCAAGAACAGACATGTCATCTTGAAAGGCAATAAAAATAGAATAGAGGCATCAACAGGCTGAATAATTGTACAGTGTGCAAACAATACATGACAAACAACGACCTGAGAACGTGCCTGGTATGTTAACATAATATATTAAGAGTTATTCAGATAACTACAGCATAAATAACATGCTAACAAGTTTACCAAACCATCCATGTCTCTTCAAATCACTAAATGCAATGAAATCTTCATCCTCGGTGTCACTTGTAAACAACTCTGTTAACTCTGAAGGTAGAATAACAGGCCTAGAGCGCCCTCTTGCGGTTTAGTGTGAAAATAACATGTGATATAATATAATAATGTGTTCATTTCCACACATAAGTTGCTCCAGAATATAAGTCGCACCCCCGGCCAAACTGAAAAAAACTGTGACTTATAGTGCAGAAAATACAGTATTTTTTTCTTCAAAATTGCTGAATTTTCTCATTTTTCCATTCAAATGCTCAGAAACCCAGCAGGTGAAGGTGCAGTGACCCAAGCCTCACCTGGATTGATCAACCTCATTAACTGCACTGGCTGCCATTTAATGGGAGCAGCTCCTCCTGTCTGTATGCTGCCAATAAAATGGCTAAAAAAACATTTAATATAGTAACTGATTTTCCATCATTAGCTCATGTATATAACGTCCAGTGTTTTATGTCACCAACTGTGTGTGTAACGCGTTTTGTGCTGAGCAGCGATCAGAAACCAGGGAACAGACTGGAGGTGAGGCAGGCAGTTCTCTGGCCTCATGGCAGGGGGCGCTCATGATCCCAGACACTGAGACATGTGGAGACACTGCAGAGCAAGAGACAGCTACCCAGGGAGCTAGCCACACAGTAAAGTGCAGTGAAATATTTATAGTTTTCTCCTATTACCACATCAATGACTTATTAATAATCGCAAAATAAACATTGAGCCTAAATGTTCACTGCAACAGACTGAATGTTCTGCTGTATGTGTGGGAAATATTGCAGTCATTTTTAGGGACGTTGTCAGTGAGAAAGAAATAGTTTGAGTTGTACTTTAATGGTTTTTTCCTCTGCTGTGGAGCGCAGCACAAAATGAATAACCTGAATTTCCAAGTTTGACGGAGTTAACAGAGTTATTCTACAGCGGCAGCGCAGCTATGAAATGGTATTGTGTTTTTGCCCTCCAACTTGTCCACATGTGGGAAATTTCTTTATGTAAATAAACATAGTCAACATTTGTATATCTGATTGATTAAGTCTGTGCCTTAGCAAGCCACTGTTCTCTGCAGTAAAACCTCTTTCCTCACAGTTTAATCATTGACGCTGCACTTAAAACAGTACTGAAGACAAAACAAACCAACACAGAACATGTTGGGCTGATTTCCGTCTGCTATAATTAATCACTTTCAATTACTGTTAAAATACTGTGAAATTATTACCTTCCATTGTAAGTAACAAACGATGAGGCACTGAATGAAATGTCAGCTTCCAAATTTTAGACTAAACAGTACAAAACAACATATAAAAAAAAATCCTTTCAAGCATTTTATGGCAGTAATTAAAAAGGTTTTGACTTTGACTCAAATTTAAATCGAGGGCTAGAAATTGGACCTTAATTCTGTTCCAACCTTTAATGGACAGGCTTCACAATCTGCATCATTTAGTTAAATGATTGTTGTTCCAATTAAACCCTCCTGAAATTACTGTAGCTTTCAATATGAAGGCCTGTCATGATAAATGATGCTGAACGATAAATTGTCCCAGAAACTGAGATAAACAACATTGTTTTGAAACCATTTTAAGTGAATAATGCAATTATTCTTAGAAACAAACCGCTAATGTTCAAATTAATACTTCTAATGGTAGCAAATGATCCTGATATTCTCGTCTGAGAACCAGTAAAGTGTTTTTATTAAGCCGGTTTCTGTTTCTACTCCAACAAATGATGCAACTTTTGACTTTAACCAGAGGCTTATTTTCACTGTTAGCACCTAATGCTAACGCATTAGCATCTGTGGCCTCCATAGATAACAGCGTTTACATTCAAACCGACTGTTTTTACCAACAAACCCCGGAAAACGGGGCCGTCGGCCATCTTACCTTCAGTTACTCTGCGGTGATAAATTCGCTGCTTTGCTTTTCTGCTTACAATTGCTCTTGCTGTTGAGTGTAGGTGCGATTAAATGTCTTTCTAGCAGACTTCCATAACCGGAAACAGGAAAGGGGAGAAAAACTAAGGCGGAAGAGACAGCGCCCCCCGCGGCTCAGTTTAGGATCGTTCTCTTCTATCATTTCTGTTCGTGTTCAAGATGAATCCATTGAATAACTGGATTGTCATCCACGGACTTTGGTTTTAGCCTTAATGACACATAACAGGTAAAAGTTCATCTATATTTAGTTATATCAAAAATGTAAGAATTTTAAAACATTTAAAAGTGTTCCTTTATTTTCCTTTTGAATCTAATGGCACTGTGAAATAAAATGAAGCATAAAAGTATCCAGTGGAGGAATTGTCTTATTTACACCAAAAAATGTATGAAGTAAGACGACATTATTTGCTGACACTTCTCTCTGATTGTCTATGTTTTTTGATTTTCCACTTGTCTTCTGAAGTGATTCAGAACAAAGGGTAATGCAGAAGTAAGCTGCCAGTTTCTGAACTGACCTCTGACCTCTAAAGTTTCTCTAACTTTTGTTGAACATTGGGATGGGAATCCAGCCGGTCAGAAGCAGATTACTGGACTGTTTTGGGTTTTTCGGCCTTAAAATCTGTTGATAGTCAAGTTTAATTTGCCGACCGTTTATCTCCACAGCATCGATGATGTACCAGTATTTTGTGAAAATTGTTCCAACCATCTATGTAAAAACAGACGGAGAGGTGAGTTAAACACCTTTGTGTTTATTGTATTTTCTGTTGGACTCTTTTCCACACGTTTTCTGTGAATTTGTTTTTACCTCCAGGTGGTCAAAACGAATCAGTTTTCCGTCACCAGGCACGAGAAAGTCGCCAACGGTTTAATAGGAGATCAGGGTCTGCCGGGCGTCTTTGTTCTCTACGAACTTTCACCCATGATGGTCAAATTCACAGAAAAACACAGGTGAGGTCATGGCAGACGGCCAGTTTCTGAAAACCAGAACGGGTCGACTGCTGAAATGTTCTTCCTCTTTGTCACAGAAATGATTTTTAAAAATGTTTTAACACTTTGAAACCATCCGTTTCAAAAATAATAATAACAATCCATTTTTTTAGCTCAATTGTTAGATGAAACTCAGACTTGCTGTAAATAACAAATCCTTCCAGTTTAAATGTCAACTGTTTTGTCAGGTCGCTGACTCACTTCCTGACGGGCGTGTGCGCCATCATAGGCGGCGTGTTCACAGGTCAGTCTCTAATCGTTCTGATGCTAACTGAGCAGCAGAGAAGCTCACCGCATTCTCCCGACTCTTCCAGTGGCCGGTCTCATCGACTCGCTCATCTACCACTCGGCGCGTGCCATCCAGAAGAAGATAGAGCTGGGCAAGGCGTCCTAACGACGGCGCCCCCAGTGGCCGCACAGACCGAGACGCTGAGCACCCAGAGGACAGAAACGGGCGGCGAGGCGGGGGGAGAAACTTGCCTCTTCTCCATGAACTAGACCTGAAACAAACCAAGAGAGAAATCCAGAGCGGTGGAGCTGTTTGGATTTCCTATCTGCCGTTTGGAGACGGACGGGGCGCGGGGGCGGAGCAACGGGAGGACGCCGCCACCAGGAGCAAGAAGCCGCTCCATCGCTACGCTCAGCGTTTGGTAGGAGAGCAAGGAGCAGCAGAGACCTTAGTTTACCCCGACGGACATTTTTAAGCTCAGATAATTTATTCCATCTTCTCTGACTCGCATCGTTCAGACTGTGGCGTGAATCCTTCCAACCCAACACAGCCGCTCAGTGTTCAGAGGAAACCCAGCAGAGGTCCTCCTGCAGCACCGCAAGGTATTAACAAGGAGTAGAAGAAGAAGAAACGGCTCATTAAACTACAAAAACAGCTGCTGGTTGTCACTCCTTACCGCACTGCAAAACCATAAAATTAACCAAGTATTTCTGGTCTACAGTCAAGTGCAAATTTCTTCACTTGAAATTAGAACAAATGAACTTACAAGTAACTTTTGAGCAAGGTAAAGGAGCTTGTTTTAAGTAAATAAGTACTATTAATTTAAACACATCAGTATTAAGGGTATTTTCGAGTGGAACTAGGAAATATCTTTCTGATTATTCCACTTGAAATAAAACATTTATGTTATAAATAAAATAATCTGCCAGGAGATCTCGGACTTTTTATCAAAATTTAGGAATTATTGACTTCAAACCAGCTGGTATTTCTTGCTTAAAAGTTAGTTTTATCTTATTTCAAGTGAACTAGAAACTAAACGAAAGGTTCTGCAGCTTCCTGGGGTTAGACGCCGGGTCAGATCTGGTGCCGTCTATACTGGGAGATTCTGATCCTTTGGACCAGCCGATCATTACATCTGGTTTCATATGATGTTTCGGAAGGTTGATAGTTAGAACCTGGATCAGAACTTCGAGCCTGGGTTCAGTCCAGTTGTGACGTTTTTATAAAAGCAGGAATGTGCACTGAATCGTGGCTTCGTTCTGTATTTCCTGTTGATGTGTTAGAACTGGACCGGTTCCGGTCCAGTATTCCCTCTGTTGCTGTCCCTGTCCTCTCAGATCCAGACGATGATTCAGTTGTCGATGGTTTGCTGCTGCACGTTTCAACCTTTAGATCAGGGCTGTGTGTGTGAGAGAGACGTATTTATATTTCGAATGTCCACAAAATGTTTTTAAAGTGACAAAATAAATGTTGAATTAAAGCAGCTTCTGCTTCACCTAATGCTTACATAGACTTTTAGTCTGTTTTCCTCCAGTCGACCCGGTTCTACTGGAACCAGAACATCTGCTCCACCTCCAGCTGCTGTGGTTCTGACCCAAACCAGCCTGTTCCCCTCCTGGCCTGTGGGGGCGCTGCACCAACAACCACTGCAGGAAACGACACTAAAACCTCTGAAGACACTGAAAGCAACTTCCTGTTTCACCAGATGAAACAAGATGGAGGCGTCAGAGTTTAGTGATTTCTCTTTAGTCTTTGGCTGAAGACCAGGAGCCATTTCTGCTGCTAGCGCTAGGCTAGCATGTTAGCTTTGGTTACCCAGAATGCCCTGCGCTGTTTTGAGCACTCTCTGGTCTGCTTGGCGTTCACGTTCTGAAACAGAGTTCACTTCAACTGAACCCAGACTGAGGATCAGAGGTCAGAGGTCGATAAGCATTCACACCTCACCAACCGAACCGGCCTTTGACTACAAAACCAGAGTAATACATATTTCTTGGTAGCTTTGAAATAAGACAAAACTAACACTAGCAACTTTTCCCCAAGCTGTAGGCGTTTTCGTCTGTAATTCCTCAATATCAATAAAACCTTCTGGCTCCGTTGACATTTTTTCACTGATAAAAAAAACAACAACAAAACATTTCTTCCATGTTATAAATAAAAAAATCGCTGTGAAACTAGCACCGTTTTCAGAGAAATCACCCTGGTTACTGTGTCAGGAAAGGAACTGAAATGCGTCCCGATGAGAAGCGGCCGCTAGGTGGCGACTTCAGTCCAGGAGTTGTTCCCTGCTGCCGCTGTCTGACTCACGAAGGAGCAACATGGCGGTCAGAAGGGAACTTCCTGTCCGGTGAGAGTCAGAACCACTCAACGCTGAATGGACCGGGTCAGAACCGGACCGGCTCAGTTCGGGGAGAGTACTAGCAAACTGGAAACACAATTAAATAGTTCAGGGGTGAAAGTGAACCGGATCTTCTGGACCGGCTCAGACCGACAGCGAGGAAGGAACGACTTTCCCTGGAAAAAAGAACGTTCCGTGTTATCAGTGAAATAATCAGAATTTTCATCAATATTAAGGAATATTAATATTAAAGTCTTAGTTTTATTTCTGGACTAAGTTATTTGCAGCACGAAGCCATTTAGTTTGGATCTTTAATAACTAAAAAAGAAGAAATAAGTCACAATAAAATAAAGGTTTTAGGGCTGCTTGCAAATAATTATTTAGTTATTGATTGATTATTGATTATTATGACAACAAAATTGCACATTGTGCAGATTTTTCATTATTTTTTTCAAAACTAGAAATACATTAAAAAGATGTAAATAAAAATGTTATTGTTCAAAAGTTCAAATCAGCCTTCCTTTGATCATTTGTAGCACACATAAACCTGCAGATAAAAACATGAGAAAAGCTGATCAGGAGATATTATTGATTAGCTGATTAATAACAGGAGATGATTAATAGATTAATTTGCAGAATGTGAACCAGGCGAAGGTAAAACCGAACTGCAGATCCCAGATTAATAATGTTTTTATTAAATATGAAATGTTTATATTGTTGTTCAGTTTTAGATGAACTTCTGCTCTCTGTTGATTTATTCTCCAATTAATGATTAATTCAAGAATGGATTCATATTCAACCCTAACAGTTATAATCTATGGATACACATATCTAAAGAAGAGCATCACGTTCAATGCTGTAATACTCCACCTGTGAAGTAAATCTGCTGACTTATGTTCTACTTTCATGTGTAAATGTGAGAGTTTTGAATTTTGGTGAATACTAAATTATTTGATTATTTCTAGAAACAATCAATCATGATTTATCGTTTCCACCCGAGTAGGTTTGGATGTTTTACCTGCACTTTGTCCTAGTTTGTTGTTTTAATCTGATCATTTTTAAACTGTGAATCTTTTTATTGATCACAGTGAAGGAAGTGATCATGAATCAGTGGAATCTCTGATCCAAACACATCAGGTCCCTCATCTGGCTCTGATTGTGGCTCCTCACTCCCCCAGTTTGTCTCCTGGCGGTGACCCCGCGGTGACCTCTGCCCTACTGGTCGTTACATGCCGTGTTCGCCGTCAGGTTCTGATTTGGTGTTGCTCGCAGTGAGTCACAGATTCAGCAGATCTTTACCCGCCAGCCGCCTCTCAGCACTTAGGGGAACATTATCGGGAACATTTTCCCGCTGGCCGAGGTCAGATGAAGGTCAGATGAAGGTCAGATGAAGGTCAGGTGAAGGTTAGGGGACTTTCTGTATGCAAAGTGATGAAAAACGGAGACACTTGCACCTTCCTGCCTGTTGGTGGACGTCAGCTGCAGAAGGATGGACTTTATTCTTGATGCTCCTGAGGTGGATTTGCAGTTTTTTTTTAATTCAATTTATTTGTTTTCTTTAGTATAAAAATGCTTCGTTCCAATTATAGATCTAAGAAATGACTGAAAGCCTCCAGCCACTCAGTCACAGAATATGAAAATATTTCATTTATTCCTACAACATTCCTAAGAATGACAATAAACACGACATTGCAAAAACAAAAAATCTATTATTTTTTAGTTTATATTGCAAATATCCTTTTGCATTTGAAATAATAAAAAACTAACAAGTGCCTTTCAGCAAGATGAGGAGCCTATTTTCATTCAATAATTATTGAATTTTGTTGAAAAATGCTAGATTATCTCATTGCCAACATGACATTTTTTCCCATTAGACATTCCACCAGAAACAGAAATATTTGTTTCATGCTGTTTTCTGCTTTTCAGCTGCATCATGTCTGAATCCAACAGCTGGGTTCCCATCAGCATGACTAATCTGAGCCGGAAACTTTCCTCTGACTCAGGTCCCGAATCACCTGAAAACAAGGAAATGTTGCTGAATTTTGCTTGGAAATTATTATGATTAGAACAGGAAACATCCCTTTTATTATGAAGCTGATATGTTTTTATGATCTTTCAACCTAAATCATCTCTAAATAATTACTTCCAACATTCTCCAGAGGAGAATCATGATTAGTTTTGAAGCGTCTGAGGATCCCACCAGAAGCAGACTGTTTTCCTGGAAATGTTTGAATAGATAAGATGAGACGTTTCTGGTATGTTTCTGTAGGAGTGATCATCTGTCTCCATTCCTATCTTCACTCACAGGACTATGAATGAGATTTAGCGGCTCTAAAGATTTGCCTCCAGAAACAGAGACGTGACCCAAACGTCACAGATAATCCTGACTAAAGCTTTTTGTTTCTCCTTTTCTAAAATCTGTTTTTATTTCTGCCTCTGATTATAAATACTTTAAGACTGAAAAGTTACTTTAAAAATGCAGCACTTCCTCTTCTGCCCCAAAGCCAGACGTGGATCTAAAACCAAAAGCTCTAAAAGTTGACAGAAAATATGAATTATATTGTTGAGAAAGTGCAACGAATGAGGCGATGAGAGTTTAGTGATTTCTCTTTAGTCTTTGGCTGAAGACCGGGAGCCATTTCTGCTGCTAGCGTTAGGCTAGCATGTTAGCTTTACCCAGAATGCCCTGCGCTGTCGTCCACTTCCTGCTTTGGAGCGCTCTCTGGTCCGCTTGGCATTCACATTCAAACTGAACCAGACCGAAGTTTGGAGGACCAGAGGTCAGAGGTCAATTAGCATTCTCACTTCACCAACCGAACCGGACTTCATAGGCAGATGGACCGGAATCGGGTTAAGGTCGACCACAGTTGAATTGTCAGGAAACACAAGTAGAGATAAATTAAGATGTTCAGTTGGTTGCTACCTGTTAGCTGTTGGTTTTGTTCACAGGAAGTTCAGTTCAGATGATGTTCTGGTTCCAGTTTCCCTCCACAAAAAATATTACTTTGAAATTCAGACTTTCACAGAAGCTGAAGAGTTTCTCCCTGAGGACCAGAGCAGGTCAAAGGTCAAGGAGCAGCACATGCCCTCTGTCAGCTGTGTGTGTGTGTGTGTGTGTGTGTGTGTGTGGGTGTGGGTGTGTGTGTGTGTGTGTGTGTGTGTGTGTGTGTGTATTCCTGGTTCTGGATTTTGACGCCTTCAGATCCAGCTGCAGCTCTAACAGCTACAGATGTTAGAGCATTGGGATAAACAACACACACACACACACACACACACACACACACACACACACACACACACACACACGGAAACAGGCAGTATCTCCAAAACATAATTCACTCCATACCTTTAAATCAAGGGTGTTCAAAGTGGGGGTTGAGGGCCATTCGTGGCCCTGAGGCTGATCTTTTGCGGCTTTCTGACCACCGTGAAAGGAGAAATTTAAAAAATTAGGGAAAAAATATTATTTTGAAATGAATTTGTACTTACAAAATATTATGGCAATACAAAATGATAATTGTGTTGCTTTTCTTTTGTTGTCATGGAAACCAGGACCATGTGACCAAATGTAATGTTTTGCTTGTTTCATAATTTAGTCAATTAGGTTGGGACCATGAAAGCAGCAACAAAAGAGAGAAACAAATTTCTTTAGCGGAATCTCAAATGATTTTTATATTTTGATACATTCAGAGAAAAGTTTGCATTGTTCACAGATCTGTGTGTGCAGAACAAACGGGTGTTATCACGCCTTATTACAAATAAATATGGGTTAATTCTTACTTTATTATTATCCCTGACTTCAACGTTTCTCTGGAATAAAACCTGTTTGCAGGTTTTCAGGAACTAATGCTTAACATAATAATAATAATCATATTATTTACATTATATTAATAATATTAATTTCAGTGTAACTGCTTCCTTTCATCTTTTTGCCATTATTTAGTAAATTAGCAGTTTGATTTATTGTAAAATATGCTGAAGTTTAGTATTTGTGTTTCTGCTTTCTGTGCGCTTCTGATGGACTCCGGGTTCTTCCGCTTTCTTCCTGGATCCAGTCCAGGTTTCCTCTGCCGACTAAACTGATGACTTGGTCTGTTCAGACGCTTCCAGACGCCCTGATTGTGACTCGCTTTTGTCTGACGGGTTATTTTAAGCAGAGAAGAAAGGATAA